CTATCCAATAATTATTACTTGGAATTTAACTATAATGAATAATAGATTTTTTTATAAGAAATCGAGGAGGTGGAGCGTCTTTTATTACCCTCGAAAACTCCCGGCAAAAGGGCGTATCAGTGCTACGGCCGCTCTCACTGCTGGTAGTGGGTGAGAGAGTGCGTCAAAATTAGGACAATTCTACCATCATTTTTTCCGAGTGTTACACCCGCCAACATTAAATTAATAATTATTAACGTTAACTTCTTTCACGTCAATTAATTAATTAAATAAATTAGTTGGCAATTAATTATTATTCTATAATTTTATTAATAATTAATAAGAGACGAAGTTGATTTCTTTCACGTTTATTAAGAAATAACTTACAAAAATAACAGCGAGGACAAAATAATCGACACAAAATCAGGCGCTAATCACACAACACAACACAATAATAATCAGGCCATTAACCGTGATTAATGGTGCCTATATATAAAAAATTATTCAGGCATATATAAATAATTGGAACAGCAAGACATCCAATTATTGGATAACGAGCTATTAATCAGAACTAAAATAGGTATTTTCGGGTATAAATATTTTTATAATATTACAACCAAAGCGAATCATTAATTGGATAAAAAAAAGTGCTACTGTTTTTAATATAATGAAGAATTAAACATCATATTTCCATCAGCTGATAATATATCGCTTCGATTTACACTTGAACTTGACTTTTTTCTTTAATTAATCAATAAAAAGAAGGCAGCAGCCAGAGAGAAAGATACTCTCCAACAATTCCGCTTTATAAAAGAAATTCCAGTTTCCGGTTTCCCAGCACATGTTTTCCATACCGATATCCCAGGTTAAATTCATCAATAGATTTCCAGAAGAACACCTCGTGGTTCATGAGAACCAACGTCCCGGGTTCTCATGGTTCCTACTTTAGTTTCTCTTTAGGCATCCACCACTTCCACTTTAATCATCCACTAATTCCTGTTTGGTCATCCAACACTTCCGGTCCCCTTACTTCCGGTTGAGTGTTCCACTACTACCGGTCGAGTGTTCCACTACTTCCGGTCGAGTGTTGCACTACTTCCGGTCGAGTGTTGCATTACTTCCGGTCGAGTGTTGCACTACTTCCGGTCGAGTGTTGCACTACTTCCGGTAGAGTATTCCACTACTTCCGGTTGAGTGTTCCACTACTACCGGTCGAGTGTTCCACTACTACCGGTCAAGTGTTCCACTACTTCCGGTTGAGTGTTCCACTACTTCCGGTCGAGTGTTCCACTACTTCCGGTCGAGTGTTCCACTTCCGGTCGAGTGTTCCACTACTTCCGGTCGAGTGTTGCACTACTTCCGGTCGAGCGTTCCACTACTTCCGGTCGAGCGTTCCACTACTTCCTGTCGAGTGTTCCACTACTTCCGGTCAAGTGTTCCACTACTTCCGGTCGAGTGTTCCACTACTTCCGGTCGAGTGTTCTACAACTTCCGGTCGAGTGTTTCACTACTTCCGGTCGAGTGTTCCACTACTTCCGGTCGAGTGTCCCACTACTTCCGGTCGAGTGTTCCACTACTTCCGGTCGAGCGTTCCACTACTTCCGGTCGAGTGTTCTCCTACTTCCGGTTGAGTGTTCCACTACTTCCGGTCGAGTATTGCACTACTTCCGGTGAGTGTTCCACAACTTCCGGTCGAGTGTTCCACAACTTACGGTCGAGTGTTCCACTACTTCCGGTTGAGTGTTGCACTAGTTCCGGTCGAGTGTTCCACAACTTCCGGTCAAGTGTTGCGCTACTTCCGGTCGAGTGCTCCACAACTTCAGGTCGAGTGTTCCACTACTTCCGCTAGAGTCTTCCACCACTTCCGGTCGAGTGTTCCACCACTTCCGGTCGAGTGTTCCACTACTTCCGGTCGAGTGTTGCACTACTTCCGGTTCAGTGATCCACTACTTCCGGTCCCCTTACTTCTGCTTGAGTCTTCAACAACTTCCGGTCCCCTTACTTCCGCGCGAGTCTTCCACCATTTCCGCTTCTCCCACTTCCGGTCGAGTGTCCCACTACTTCCGGTCGAGTGTTGCACTACATCCGGTTCAGTGATCCACTACTTCCGGGCCCCTTACTTCTGCTTGAGTCTTCAACAACTTCCGGTCCCCTTACTTCTGCGCGAATCTTCCACCATTTCCGCTTCTCCTACTTCCGGTTGAGTGTCCCACTACTTCCGGTCCCCTTACTTCCGCTAGTCTTCCACCACTTCCGCTTCTCCTACTTCCGGTCGAGTGTTCCACCACTTCCGGTCGAGTGTTCCACTACTTCCGGTTGAGTGTCCCACTACTTCCGGTTCGGTCGTGCGACACTTGCGGTTGCACTACTTGCGGTTGGGGAGGGCGTTGGCAAGCCAGTCCATGGCAGCGTCCAGGCCCTCCCCCTTGAGGGCGGAGGTCTTGAACATCTGCAGCGTCCTGTTCTTGAGGGCGTCGAGGCCGAGGGCGGCGTGCACCTCGGCCACCGTCATCGCCCCCGCCATGTCCTGCTTGTTGGCCAGCACCACCAGCACCGCAGAGTGAAGCTCCTCCTCCTGCAGCAGGGGGGGGGGGAGTGAGGGGGGTAAGGGTTGGGGGAGGGAGTTTAATGAAAGGGTTGGGGGAGGGGCAGAGTGAGGGGGTAGAGTGAGGGGGTAGAGTGAGGGGGTAGAGTGAGGGACGTAACAAGAAAGCTGAACTGAAAGACGGAACTTCTCGTGGGTCAACCTTGTATGGTTCAACCATGAGCCAGTACAGTCTTCACGGTGGCTACACTCCAGCCTCATCTCCGCCTTCCTCCACACTTGCACCTCATCTCCACCATGCTCCAGCCAATGAGGTAAGGTAAGGAATTTCTGTTTGGGTGGAGAAGCGGAGCAAGTGTGGAGGATGGTGCATGCTGGAGTCTATAGTCTCCATGAATACTGTACTGGCTGGTGGCTGGTGCTGTGACTGCAGGCTTACGTACGGGGCCCATAGCTTCAAGCCGGCGCGTCGGTTAGTTTGGCTTGCGGATTTCTAGCACGGTCTGCGACTAAATCCTAAAGCCAAATGTAGCTATGTCTTAAAATGCCTAGCAAATTACGGATGGATGACTAGAGCGGCCGTAGCACTGATACGCCCTAACTGCGTCAGGATGACCCACGCAATTGTGATGGTGAATTGACTTATGGACAAAACCTCACTCATTGCATTCAGTGCACACCTAATATTAGCCAAGCTCTACTACAGTATATTCATAATTTTATCAGAATAATTCACATATGTGTATATATCAATTAAGTAATAAATATTAATTTATTTTTACATAATGAATTAATATTAATATTAATTTTCTTTATAAAATCAATTAATGTTAATATTAATTTATTAGCATACAATGAATTAATAAATATTTAGAAATATTATCAATGAATCAAGAACACAGCGATCAAATAAGTGATTATAGTTAAATGATCAATGATTAATTAAATAACTAGAAATCATTCATTATTGTCCAGTTTTGACAGCACATGACCCATTTTACGTCGCTTTATGGGTCACGATATCGATGATCTCCCAGCAGCCAATCACAGCCCCGGGTTTGTTTACCGCTGTCGAAAAATACTTTCGCTGTATTAAACATAATTCGATTCATGTCTTCATAATAAAAACCATTGGCATTATTATTGTTTTGTGAGATGAGAGATTTGAATTACTGAGTTTAAATTTTAATTGTGAAATATAAGCAAAAAGAGCATAGAGAAACATGATAGCGATCTGTCAGAGAAGTAATTCAAGTGTACGTAATTGATCAAGATCTGCAGCCAGCCTGAGGGCAGCTGGCCAGCCAATGAGCGTCGAGTTGACAGGTCGGTCTCCGTGGCAGCGGCCGCGGGTATATAAGGCGCGGGGTCGCCCCGTGCCCTCAGTCGCGCGAGGCACGGGACGTGAGGTGCACGCGCTCCGCTTGTACGTCAGGGACGGTCGATAGCGGCAAGAGGTGTTTAAATTCTTCAATTATTTAGCATCGATTGTTTGAAGTTCTTGCTTTTTGTTGTAAGTTCAAGAGAGCAGCTTGACCTCCTAAAAGCAGTTCTGACAAAGAGTGATGGGGGAATTGTGACATGAATGCAGATAACTTATAAAGAAATGGCCATTTGCTGGAACGATTTTGTCGTAAAAAGTCTACGGGATTTGCATGAAATATTTGAGTGTTATTTTACTGATATAAATCGACTGAAATTGCACGTCTCACTCAAATGAATTTCTTGCTATAACAAAGCTGTAAGAAATGAACAAAAATGTAAAAATTAATCGTCATATATAAGAACAATGATAACAGGTAACGCTGGCTGCTATATCAATGTTCAACAGTTATCAATGTCACTCGATTGTTTTTAATCGGAAATTCTCTAAAAATTTAAAAACCCAATAAAATTTCACCATCTCTTCAGAGAAAACGTATTTGCATATTTTGGAGTCCTTGTTTATTTTCAAGCAAAATGCAGCATTTTTGATTTATTAGAAGTGTTCAACACAGCACATGTTCAACACAGCACATGTTCAACACAGCACATGTTCAACACAACACATGTTCAACACAGCACATGTTCAACACA